AAAAACCCCAAAGCGCACGCCCAATCGTTCTGCCGGCTCCTCCCTAGAGGCGCGTTTCAGCTGTGGCAAGTTAAAGCCATGCCACACTCTCGTTGAGGCGTACGTAGGTAATAATTCCACATATATAGGTTATTGCTAACATGTCGGCTTCTTTGCTATTTGCATTTCCAGGACCCCCTGATTTGATGAGGCAAGGCATCGACGTTCATTGCGACGAGTTTCGTCCTGTCGACCTCTTAACGGGTTACTGAGAAAGGGATTTGTATATGCAATTGCATTTTTTGCTGGGAAAAACAGATGGCGGAATCTATTGGCAAGAGGTACGACATCGCCGGGATCGTGTATTGGCGCGCCCTGCCGGGCTGATATGTAAGTCCTCTGAGGTTAAGTTATAGTTGTCGGCCACTTGATTCCCCCTGGCTACCTGCCGCGCTCTCTGGCAAACAGTGATCAGGACCGTTAATAAAGGAATACGGCGTATTCATCCCCGCTACTAGGATTCCCCTCCATCCACCTACACAGCTCAGCCAACGTATATACTCGTCTGTATCTGGCGGCTATGAGTTTTATTTCCCGGGCTGTACGCAACTGAATGCCATGTTTAATTTCACTGCCTTCTTTCATCGGCAGCTATGATGGATGATATTGGGCCCAAATAGGAAAGTGTACGTACACCAACCCCGGAGGCCGGCGATACTGCGTACGTCTTATCCCGGTTTCCGAGCTATATTATCGGGGCTGTGCTATACCAAGTAAGTACTGTATAAACATGCGTATTATGTAACTCGGGTCATCGGCGCAAGGCGACGACGTATCGATATTGCCTTGATCCACGTACGTGGGCCGGTGTGTGAGCGCTACTCACTCGTGCTAATCCTCATCTACAGGAGATCCTCCACTCCAACGCCTTAGCGGCTGGCTCTCTCGATCCAAGAGCCGCGCCAGGCATAGGGCATAGGGATGAAAACGCCTTGGGATTGCACCTTATGGGGTATGCACCATATAGGGTAGTGCTATGTAGCCCAAGGCCCTTTAGCTAGAGTCCTACAGGGGAGATAGCTCAGCCATGCACATCATGCATCATGACGTTGTCCCAGTGAGTGAGTCGAAATGATCCCAAATCTTACATAGCTGAAGTCTTGGCCATCCCGTTTCCTTAAAGGGTAATAAGGTGGACACCGGGGTTAGTATTACTCTGGGAAACTGAACCAATGAAACCATTGAGTCCAAACACATCAACAGATCTGATCCCATGTATACCGGGTAGTTTTACGGTACCACTGACCATGTTGAACGACTCTCTCAGTCGTGATAGCCCTACACATAGCCTTCGTCGAGGTATTCATAGTAACCCAAGCATTAGGTGCCAGGGGCGAATCCTTGCCTAACTATCTAAACAGTGGGAGAACCCTAAATTATTATGTGTTCTCACACCATGTAAGATATAGGCTAGACCAGATGGAAAGCTCGTGTATACGGCGTAGCCATTTGGTAACTGTAAAGGCAGACAGGGCATCACACGGTCATGGCGCAGCCTAGAATATGAAAAAAAAAAATATCTATATAACAACGCGTCCCTCTACATGCAACTCGGTTCCAGTCCTCTCCATCTCACAGTGCCCATTCATTCATTCCTCGTACCTCTTAGAGTCGGCTCTTCTTGTCTTTATACCGTGCTATAAGTAGCAGTCCAAAGGTGTTTCGAGATTGTTGTCGCAGTTTTCATTACTTCGAGTTTGAGAAAAGCGAAGACGCCATGGCGCCGTCCGGGTTCCCCTCTCTTTTTCGAGCCGCCACTCTCGCCCTGGTAGCCACCGCCTATGGAAAGACCACACGCGGTATCCCGTGGAAGCCATGCCCGGCCGACATCAATGCCATAGCGGCCCTGGACGTCGAGTGCGGTACGCTTGCTGTCCCGCTCGACTATACGGCTGCCAATAGTACGGAGACTCTCGAGCTATCGCTATTGAGGGTGCCCGCGGCCAAGAAGCAGGGCAAACACAGCCATTCGATTCTCTTCAATTTTGGAGGCCCCGGGTTCGAGTCCCGTTTTACACTGGCGCAACTGGCCGATACCATGCAGGCGTGAGTACACACACACACACACACACACACTCACTAAAAAAGAGACAATGTGCCGCGTGGGTGATATACGAAATGTGTCACTAATAGAGTTGTCGCTATCTTGCAGTGTCACTGGAGGCGAGCATGATCTGGTCGCATGGGATCCGCGTGGGACAGCCGAGACGCTGACGTTTTCGTGCTTTGCGAACTCGACGGCTCGCGCTCAACTCAGCGCGGGCTTCACGCTCGGTAACGCTTCGGACGTGGCGCGTGGCCAGCTGTGGGCTGGCGGGAAGAACTATGCCGACGCCTGTGCCGAGTATCCGGAAGCCCAGGAGAGGGGTCCTCTGATAGGCACACCCTTCACCGCCCGTGACGCGATGCAAATCGTCAATGCGGTGGAAGACGATGGGTTACTAAGATACTGGGGTGAGACACTCTGCGCCGGAAAGGGGGAGACAAGACCGTGTCACTAAAACATGGTGTTTCTTACAGGTTTATCGTACGGCACCGACCTGGGAGTCATGTTGGCAGCCTTGTTCCCGGAACGAGTTGAGAAGTTGATAATTGGTAAGGACCGCGGGCACCTTGTTTGGCTGCCTACCTGTTCATAGACTGAAGCCACTGACTTTTGTTTAGATGGTGTGTTCACTCCCACTCAATATTTTTACGACAGGTAAGTAAGCCCAGGCTTGACGTTGCCATTCGCTCTCAAGAGGCCTTGTCTTTAACTAACGGACGCTGCAGAACCTCCTCGGAAGGCTTCGCCTCGGCCGACGACACGTTCTCCGAGTTCTTTCGGCAGTGCGTATCAACGCCCGACGTCTGTGGCCTGGCGCGCAGTCACCCCAATGCCACGGCGGGACAGCTCGAGTCGGCGGCGTACGATCTGATCGAGGAAATCAAGTACCGACCGCTGGCACACGACGGCCTCGTACTCGGATACTTGGAGCTGACGAGCGCGATCCGATTCGCGCTGTACACGCCGTACACATGGCTGGCCCTCGACCGCATTCTGGATGCTTTCTTCGCGACGCCGCGGAACGAGACGCTGGCCGGGGCCGCCCTCGCGGACTACCTAGCAGCCTCCCTCGCCGGTGACGCGCCGGCAGACGACGCCCCCATCGGCATCGAGTGCGTGGACCAAGGGCCGCGGTCCGATTCGTTTGACGTGATCAATGCCGCTCTCGACCGGGCCCAATCGGTCAGCCGCCTCTTAGGCGACGTCCTAGCCGGGGGGGTCACGACGTGTGCGCAGTGGAAGCTGGAGCCGCGTGAGCGGTACACGGCCGGGTTCGCGGGCGTCAAGCCGCGGAAACCCCTCTTCGTCATCGGGAACACGTACGACTCGGCCACGTCGATCAAGTCGGCGAGGAACATCACCGAGACGATCGAGGGCAGCGTCCTACTCGAGCACGGTGGCTTTGGTGTACGTTACGTCCCCGTATCATCTCTTTCGCGCACCCCCTTTCTTCTCTCAGCCTCTACTTATCCATCACCTTTCCTGCCCGTTTCTGCCTCGTGTTCAGACCGCTGACTTTGTATATTAAAAAAAAATAGCACACCAGCATTCAACAGCCATCTCTCTGCACGGCCAGGGCCATCCAGAACTTCTTCCGCAACGGCACCCTACCGGAGTCCGGCACGCTATGCGACACCGCCACCGGACCCTTCCAGTTCACCGCGGAGGGTCCGACGTGGCAGGATCTCTACGCCCAGCTGGGCTTCGAGCCGCCCAGTGCCGGCAACGGCACCAAAGCCGCCCGGGCGGAGCGGCGTGGTGGCGCCGAGATGGCCATGTTGAAGAACATGGGAAGGCGTCTGGGCGGTGCATTTTAAGGGACCAGACGGTGGCATTTCGACGACGCTTTTCCTCTCTCCTCTCCTTACCTTGTTTCTTCTTTTCCCATCCTTGAGCCGGTGGGCCATTTTTGCCTGTCTACGCGTGGATATGTACAAAATTTAGCTAGTTCAGAATGGCAAAATCAACCTGCTTTTACGTCTGTGATATAGATAGAGCGAGGTGAATATTTATGATAGGAGAGATGAGCTGACTACCCAAGGCACGCAGGACCTAGACTCGTATAGTTCTCTCTTGTATCTTCTGTACAAGTACCTGCGCCATGCCGGGCTGGCAGGAGACAGAGTCGCAACCGTGGGTCCCATATCACACCAGCACTTCGGTGACGTTTAGCATACTATACCCCTCGCACTACTTCAGTCGGCGAGCTTTTCCAGCATCAGTTTCCCATCGGATTTGATTGCCGTTCCATCCCAGCTGCCGCAGCTGCAGCGATGAGTGAGAATATCGATTGGCGCCGGTGTATCCGAAGCATAAAGAGCCCAGAGCCGATCGGTGCGCCACGGAAATCAACTGCAGCGGTATGCTACGGCAGAACCAGCAAATGTTATATATTGCCAAGTCAGGGGAAACGGTAGCCTGTATACGTGGCACTGTAACACGGACAACATGGGGCATCTTCGTCGTAACTCGTATGTATGGCTTGAGCATTCGGCTCGCCACTGCTCCTCCCATGGTGCCTACCCAGTATTTTACAAAGACCTATCTATAAGTTATTCTTGCCCTCGATCCAAGATATCAACTAGACTCAACGGTTATTCGGTAGTTTCTTGTTCCACGTCTACGGCGTATAGCTGAATGATGAATGGCATTGCCTACCCACCTACCGTGTATAGTGCGGCTATATTCGATTGGTTGATGCCTACCTAACTAGTATGTATAGTGCATGAAAGCTGACCTCGCCCGACTCACCAATAGCTTCTTCTAGTATAGATTCTGTATGGGAATGCAGAAGCCCCGTTAGAGTTGTCACAAAGTCTTATTATTGTCTGCTACTTGCTGCGCCGTCTTTCACCCTCAGACTTGGGGACCGATACCGCCGCAAATTTCCAACCGCGTCTTCTGGAAGCGACTTGCCCTGGTAGCTCAATTGGTTAGAGCGTCGGACTTTTACGGTTTCCTTACGGTGCTGTCAGAGCCATCCGAAGGCTGCGGGTTCGACCCCCGCCTGGGGCGCGATTTAGTGACTTACGATTTGTTACACAGCTAGCTAGCTCAGTGGAAGAGCGCCGGGCTCATAACCCGGAGGTCGATTGATCGAAACAATCGCTAGCTAAAAGAATCAGCGTCATTCAATCATCCCTTTTTTTTTTTTTTTTTTTTTTTTTCTTCTTCTTCTTTCTTCATCTCTCTCCTCTCCCCTTGCTTTTTTCTTTTTCTTTTTAAATCTACAAGCACGATTCATCCATCTACTTAGTTGCTAGTTTTCCCTCCTTCTTAAGCAACAGCCTAGGTATTCATTATTCACGCCCCTTTGTCACGGTTGTCGTCTCTTGTTCTGACCAGCTCAAGAACCTACTAACTCAGGGTAGCTGATCTAATACGTAATCTGTCAGCCTGTCAACAAGCACGATCTTGCCTCCTCCCCGCACTGCTGGCCTGAATACTTTGATCCAGTTTGGTTCGCCATCGATGTCGTCCCACTCCTCGATGTTCTGCACCGTCACGCCCTCGTACAGTGTATGGAAGCTGTAACTCTGCAGCCCGGCGAGCACCAACATCTTCAGCCGCAGGTGGCGACCCATTTCTCGCGCCCTGTCCATGACCTGGAACTTGCTGAGGACCCTTCTCTCCGTGTTGAGGTCGTGGCTGTAGATCCGCAGATCCAGCAACACACTCTCGAGGTTCGGCATCTGGGACCAGGATAGCCACAGGTGGGCCGACCGGTCGAGATCCAGCGCCTTGTTGATGGCATCGGCTTTGCTCTGGTCATCAGCGTCCCCTCCCACGCTGAACGGTTTCGCGCTGAGCTGCATTAGCTGGAGCGGAGAATGGACCGCGATGTGCCGGAGGCCCTGGTGTATGGGCGCCGAGCCCGTGCCCGCTCTCAGTTTAACGGTGTCGACTGGCTCGTCGTCGAAGGGCAGGATAGCCTTCAATCGTGGACCGCGGAGAGGCTGGTGGTCTGCGCGATCGCTTCCCAATGCTCTTCCAATCGCCTCTCTAGAGAGGTGGCTGACACCGAGAGTAAAGACATGTGTGTGGCTGCGGTAAAGCTGTCTAGTATACTCCGAGGAGAACATCACGTTCAGAGCGACTGCCCTGGGATCGAACCTTATCATAGGAGTGAGCACATGGTCGCTGTCATCGTGGTCATACTTGTATGAAAGAGCACCAGCAGCGGACTCGGTACCTCGTGTATAACTCACAATTCGCGTGTACCTCAGCCGTTGCTCGAGTTCGGTGGTTTCTCTCCGGCAGATATTCCAGTCGGGGACGACGAGACTGAGAGCACACCTGGGTCTAGCTATCATGGCCCGCGCAATTACCATTGCCATAATCTCGAGCGGGAGGTAAGCCGAGCTTCTTGCTCTGCTCATCTTCTGACAGGGGCGGCCGTTCTCACCCGCAGAGGGTAGATTCTCAGCCCGGAACTCGTCTGGCGCCGTGTGACCGACAGATTCCCGAGTCTTCTGAGAAGGACTATCAGCTTCACGGATATTCGGCAAAGAGTGGTTGGCACGGGGGTACACAGAAGAGAGTCCGCTCAATGACCCGAGCCCAGACGAAATGTGAGTGCGCTCACCTTGCAAATTCTGTATTGCCCCCGAAATCTCATTTTCAGCCAACCCTGAGCCCCGGGAGGACCGCGGCATCCCTGCCTGGTTTACGTGGCGGTCGGCTTCGTTTCGGGCTAGACTGAGCCTTGAGACGCCTCCCTCACGGTCGTCTCCATGGGAGGCATAGGTCACAGCCTGACCGGGCCATAACAAGGCGAAGTCGAAGGCGTCAGTGCTATCCTCGCTATTGGAGTCTGGCTGCAGCTGGAGGGGGTGTGTTGCGGTGTGACGCTCCATGCCAGAGCGAGGAGATGTCGAGTAGCGGCAGATGGTAGAATGCGTCGCGCAGCTTTTTGCTTATAGTGCACTGACCCCGGTAGCTGACCATCGGCGCCGATGAGCCTTATAACGCGGCACCTCGGAACCGCACGCATGGGCGTAAGAAGGGGGGTGAAAGAAAACACGGCCTTCTTCCTTTCTGCACTGACAGCGGACAAAGGGCCTTGTTTCCCGAGCAACGTTTACTCAATAGTAAACCCTGCCCACTACCAACCGGTCGTGTTATTTTATGATGTCTCGAGCCATCCCGAGCGAGCTAATAGAAACTCGCATGAGTTACAATTTGGTGGCGGTGACACGGTTGTAGCCTGGAGTGCACGTTGCGCGACCGTTTCGTGACGCCAAAGGACCAGCGTGCCTAATTGCTTTTCATACGATCCGTACTCGAGACATGCAATGCAGCAAGGATTAGAAAAGATAGCATGGAGAGGAGAGGGTTTGGCTATAGTATGATTTACGAGGCAGAATCAGCACGTATGACCATAGGATGCAGAGAAGGCGGGGTCCCGTCCGCTCCCCATAAGTACCTAGCTAAGCTGCATACCGCTAGATTCTTAATGGAAGAGCAGACAAAAAAAACAAAGAAGCAAAAAAATAAAGAAAAAAATTGGTAGCTTCTCTTTGATTGAGCGTGTCATCCTTAGTGCAGGGGCCATGCTAATCTTCTCTGTCTAAAGGTGGGTGGTTAGTTTGAGATTCGAACAGGCGACGTTGGGAGCAAATCTTACATCGTTTCAAATTGACCAAATGCCCGAAGGCGAAGAGGCATCCTCTTTCTAGCATTATAATGTCCCCTGCACAAATGATTTGCCGAATCTAATCAGTCTGGGCCCGCTGCACGGCCCGCTAAAGCCTATCTACACCTGTGTGCACCCGCCTACCTAAGTAAGTACCTATCTAGATATTCCGCCTACGCATAAGTGCAGGATGTCTCAAACCATGATTTATTACGCTCGGCGTCGGCGCCGTGACTTTGACCCCTAACTAAGCGTTAAATCCTCGGCGTGTCTTTACTACCAACGAAGAGACCAATTGATCGGGCTTATTACGCCTGACAGGCTGACACTGTTTCCGCAAGTCAACTTTTACAGCAGCTGCAATTCAAATTTGGATCTTCCCTGCTTCTGGATTTCGTTATTGTACTTAACTAGATTCATGTATGCTTACTTTGCCAAAGATGTCGCCAGTACTCAGTCGAAGGCTCTTATGATGATCATCTAGTCGTACAAAGTGCCGATTGGCAAGGCTCGGAAGGCTCTCACAAAAGTTGCAACCCGCTCTTGAAGAGTTTTCGAGATCCTAGCGGCTTCTTTCTTGGTCGTGCCGTATTATACGTCCAGAACTCCGTCGCGAACACAGGCTAGAGGTAGGCGGTTCAGGCAGGGGGTGTGCAGAGAGTGGCCTACGATCAAATTATCGCTGCAGCTGAAATGTACGCAGTTTAGATTCTTGATCTAAAAGTTTAATCCATGATGTATACCTCCCTATAGCATGAATACATACTGTAAGATATGGACGCTGGTAATTGTCTTGAGCTGGCGGTGACACAAGAGAGTCACGGGCGGTTTTGAATGAACTGGCGCCCAGGCCGGGGAGGGAGGGGGGGGTTTTCTAAGTAGAGGCAGTTATGTTCTACGAGGAGAGGGCATGAGTTAGCAGAGCACGCGTTGTGACGACAAGGCGATTGCCCAGGGCCGATGTATGGGCATGGCGCTACCAGCATGCACGCGAAGGTTCCCGCGGTTGGGGTGTGTGTCGGGAAGATAAAACAGTTGTTCATTTGCGCTCTATCTTCCTCTCGTATCAACAAACTATCTAGATAATCTAACATGTAGTATGTTCGAAGGCAGCATTGTAATGCGGCGTATTTATTGGTTCTCTACACAGAGGCAGAGGAATACACCCCAGAACAACATCTCCGGATTTGCTCTCAAGATCATCCCACATCGACGGAAAGTAATAGGTATTATACGATCCTTCTCGACATCATAGATCTCTCTGTGTACCAAGCTGCGTAGGGACCTTCACTTCGGCCAGGGCAGGTTACTAGTGCCACCACACCCCACTCGTATCCTTTTCGCGTCCAAGTTGCCCAGGCCTCGAGGAGAACCCCGATGCCAATGGTGCCCGTCTCTCATAATAGGTCTTATCCAACCGCGACTGCGCCCGCAAGCTGAAAGACCGGGCCTGGCTTTCGAGAACGAGCACCACCTTTCACAGCCGCGCTGTAACACTCACGCCGTCGACGAAGAACTCGAAGCCGGCGCGAGCACCTGCCGCCATATAGACGACGGGTATTCCTCCCTCCTCCCTAGAAGTAATTGGGGGTACAACTTCCGGCACGGCACTGCCAGATTCGAGTGTCAGGGTCCAGGGACTCGTTGTGCCAGACTCCGGGGGATCCTCAGCCAAATCTCGAGAGGGAGAGATGGCCTTGCTCAGCCGCTCAGCTGCTCTAGACGAGCCACCGCATGCCACGAGAGCAGAGACGCGACTCGTGCAAGCACAAGACGCCATTCTAGCTCATCGACAGGGGACCCGTCCGGCGGGGTCTAGCTGTTAATCCTCTTACTATCCGCTAAGTTGTGGGGGATGCCGTGTGGCAAGGAGTGAAACCGAGCGATGCCGTCGGACGGAACAACTCACTCTAGCGATGCCTCCCAATATCTTCCCATTCGACAGGGTTGTGCTGGGCGAGGGCCCGGAGTCATGAGGCGTGAGTATGAGTACGCTTTCTGAGGCTGGAGACTACTTTGGGGGTGGGATATGGCCGCGGTGAAGCCGAAAAGTATGGGAGGGGAGAGGAAAGGCATAGACGAGAACGTGTTGGCGGACGAGGGAGAAGAAGAAGGGATGAAGTCGAGAAGGAAGAAGGTATCTGTGTGCAAAGATAGAGAGTCAAGAGAGAAGAAAGTATTGTGCATCATGGCCAACATACAAGAGGTGGCGACAGCGAGGCTAAAAGCCGTGGTAGATGTGGAAAAGAAGCAAAAGGTAGGAGGTTGCCGTGGTTGTGATGAGGAAAGAGAGAGAAGGAGGGAGGAAGAAGGGGAGGAGGAAGAGGCGGATTTAAGAAGAGTAGAAAGGCGGCAAAAACCTGTGGAAGGCGGTGTGGCA